CTTGGGCATGCACGCACACATGCCCAGAGTGAGTTTTAAGGCACTGGGTTTGGGACTCAAACCACAGTTGACCATGTGGGAGTCCTGTGATGTAACCATTACACCATCTGTTGGTTCACCTCATTTAATTCTTGATGATTCTATATTTGGATGCATTTACCCCAGTTCAAAATATTGTACTGAACCTAAACAAAATACCTTCTTTCACAAGGTGAAGTTTTATTACAGTGGATAATTCTCAATATGAGTCAAGGAAAAGAATGATACAACTCATCTGAGTTGGGTCATGATATTGTGAAGCAAGATAACTTCATTAAGTAATAGTAAATTAACAAATTACTATTTTTGTTGAGTGACATAACCAGATGTTTTGGATGCTATTATTTGGTAAATAGACATTTGTTCGATGTTCATTGACTTATGTGAAATATATTTAATTGTCTCGAAAGTTATAGTATTTACTATAGTTTTTGTTTTTAAGATTTTTTTTGCGATAGGGCATGTGCACTCACCAGAAAGACAGAGAGAGACAGAAAGAAAGCGAAAAAGCACCCCCCCCAGTGGGGATGGTCACACTGCAATCCCTTCTCCTCCATTCTCCTCTCGGGATCTTAGGCACACACACACACACACATGAGCCCAGCGTGAATTTACACCATCAGGTCCAGGACTCACACTGTGGTCGACTACATGGGAATCCAGCGACGTAGCCATTACGCTCTCTGCTGGTCCCATTATACAGTTTTTTAATATTAATGAAGAAATGAAAGTCAGCGTGGTGTCTTTCATCTCTATGGCTGCTGCTTCTGCCTATGTACATTGTCTAGTTTTACATGTAGATTGTTGCTACTCTGTTTTAGGCTGGACTCAGATTTGCATGGTAGGAAAACAGCATTAACTGTCTTTTTAAAAAATGATTTAATTTAATTTATTCATTCATTTATTTTAATTTGACCAGAGAGAGACAGAGAGACACAGAGAGAGGGAAAGTGAGAAAGCAAGCCATCGGGTCTGGGACTCAAACCATGGTTGGCCATGCGGGAGTGTCCAGTGCCTTAACCACCACGCCCCGCCACCTGCTGGTCCCCAGCATTAACTATCTTGGACAGTAGATGGAATTCCTTGGTGCTAGTAGTTGGGAAGAGAGCTGAAATAGTGTATAGACTTGCAGGAAGACCTATAGGAACCTGGGCCCTGGGGACTATAAAACAGGCACAGAATAGGAATATCACCCCATCAGAAGTTACTCTCATCTCTCCTTGACTTTATTCTTCTTTGTTGTGGTCAGACTTTTGCCAAAAGGGAAAAAAAAAAAAAAGCTGGCTGCCTACAACTCTAGTCTCACATTCTTCTGGTATCATGACCCCGAAGGCAAGACCATTTCTCTTTCTGCACTAACTTGGGAAATTCATTTCTGCACTAACTTGGGAATTCTCTGGGGACTAATCATTGTCCCCAGAGAAAGGAGGGTTTTATCTTTTGCCCACCTCCATGGTCAGAGGAGAATAGGGACATACCAATGTGGGGGCAAAGGAAAGCTAACTCTGGGACTAAATTGTTAATTGTCATGTCGTCTTCAAGGCCCGTTGCTCTAGCCCTCTGATGATTTCCCACTTTAGTCTTGCTACTTAACTATGCTTAGATTCAGTTTTCGAAACTATAGCTTACATCATGATCACCCAGTTACCCAGCCTTTAGTGACTCCTCATTGCTCATATGTTATATCTAAACTTCTGGTGGTGTGGCTTCTCCTTAAGTACTGGCATCTCTGTATCATGGCTGGCAGGATGAACCAGTTTAGGTATTTTTTATTGGGAGTGATATGGAGTCTACCTCTGTCTAGTCATTTATTACAGTAAATCAGAGGGAAACATAGCTTAACTAGAGGATTTGGCTCTGCACTTATCTCACTGAGCTTTTGGGGAAATCAGTTGACCTCTCTCTGCTTCCATTTTGAATTTAGGGTAAGGAGAACTAATAATGTTTATTTTGCCTTAGTGCCTTTGAAAATAGATTATGAGCCTCAACTGAAGTAACAGGTGTGAAAATTGCCTGTAGAGACAGAGAAACAGAGACAGAAAGCAAGAAATCAACCCCCCCCCCAGGGGATGGTCACACAATCCCTTCTCCTCTGTTCTCCTCTTAGGATTTTGGGTACGCACGCACACACACTCAGCATGAGTTTTAAGCCACTGGTTCTGGAACTCGAATCACGGTCAACTACATGTGGAGTCCAGTGATGTAACCATTACATTATCTGCTAATCCTAAAAAACCCAGTTTTAATGGCAATTAATTTTTTTGAAAACTTATGGAAAAGTATAAAATAGTGTATAATTTCAGAGTAGTATTACTGTAAATAAGTTATTTGGCTGAAAATGGGCTGCAGAAGAAGTGGAAGAAGATGGGACTCACCAGCTTTTTACCTTCACCTACTCAGCTATTTCAGGACCAACATGAGGCTAAAGAAAAGACAAGACCCCAAAGATCACGGCAGACTTCACTAGTTTCCTCCCGAAGAGAGCCTCCCCCTTATAAGTACCAGAAAGGCTGGATACCTTGGTCATTAGAGGATTTTGGAGATGGAGGAGCCTTTCCAGAGATCCATGTGGCCCAGTATCCATTGGATATGGGACAAAAGAAAAAAATGTCAAATGTGCTATCCATTCAGGTGTATCCTGAAAGAAAAATTATGCAATTGCTGAACAAGGACAGACAAAAGACAAGGTCATTTATAGCAAATACACTGACCTGGTTCCAAAGGAGGTTATGAATACAGGTGATCCAGACCTGCAAAGAAGCTATTAAAGAAATAACGGAAAAGACAAGGTAGCCTTAGAGAAATCTGTATTACTGACAGTTGCTGCTGCCATGCCAGTTCAAGCAGCTAATAAACTGGCTCCTGCTCAGTATATCCAGTATATATTATCTCAGCAAGGACTGGCTTTCAACTCTGGAGCTAAACAGAGGGTTATTCGAATGGTAGAAATGCAGGAAGATCTGGGACCAGTAGGTGGCATGGTGGTTAAGACACTGGACACTCCCACATAGCTGACCGTGGTTCAAGTCCTGGACCTGGTGACTTGCTTTCTCACTTTCCCTCTCTCTTTCTCCCTCTGTCTCTCTCTGGTCAAATAAAAAAAAACAAAACAACCAAAAAAGAATAAATAAAATTAAAAAAAGAGAAAGAAATGCAGAAAGATCCAATGGAGCCACCAAGGTTCAAGATTAATAAAATTCCCTAGGACCACCTTCTCCTGCATCTGTCATGCAGAAAGATGACTATAAAAGAACAAGAGTGGAAGATTCCTCCTTGCATTTCAAACTGGAAAAATGCAAAGAGTTATACAGTTCCATTAGACAGACATCTAGCCACTGATGGAAGAGAACTACAGACAGTACATATAAATGAAAATTTTGCCAAACTGGCCAAAGCCCTCTACATTGCTGATTGGAATGCTCGTGGAAGATATGGAAATGTGTGTCCAAGTAGAGAGAAAGATGATTCTAAAAGAAAAGGAGAAACATGGAGAGAAACTTAGGGAAATGGCCCAAAAAGCCAGAGAGGAGAATTGGAATCAAAACCCCATGTGGAAAAGGAGGATGGGGAAGCATGTTAGACGAAATCTGGCATGGTAGGTGAAAAGCATGATAGGGATATTTCCAGAGCAGCTCCTGATAAGAGGTCTAAACTGCAGAGAAATGAAAATCAGGCTACCAGTGGTCATTGCTCTTGGTGTGTCAAATCCGTGGACTTTCAGTGAAGTTCAATATGACCTGCGGGTCTTCAACCAGTCCAAGGGTATACAGTGGATTTGCAGGTAGAGAAGGTGAAATATACAGCGTTTATGATCAAGTCTGGAAAGGTGGTAAAGATATGGCCCAGAGTATTTATAGGCCCAGTAAAAACCTGGAGAAAGACATGTATGGTGATGACCTAGAAGCCAGAATAAAGACCAACAGATTTGTTCCCAACAGTGAGTTTTCTGGGTAAGACCATAGACAGGACGAGAGGGACCAGTTCAGCTTGAGGGAAGAGCCTTTTGGTTTGGACAAGTTTTTGGAAGAAATCAAACAACATGGTGGCTCTAAAAGACCTTCAGATAGCAGCATCCAAGGAACATGAGCATGAAGGCAAGGAGAGAGGAGTAGATAACATATGTCTTTACAGTGAATGGACTAACACCCCAGTGATGCAGGTAATATGGGGGAACACTTTGTAAGCGGTCAGTATAAAAACCAAATCTGGGTGCCAGATACCAGCACTACTTTTTATTACTGAAGTACAGGGGATAGAAAATTCTACTTTGAGCTATTTAGTGTTTTTTTTCAGATTTTTTTGCTATAGGGTGTGTGTGCTCGCCAGAAAGACAGAGAGACAAGAGACAGGGAGAGGAACCAGCAGTTAGCGTAATGGCTATGTTGCTGGACTCCCATGTAGTTGACTGCGGTTCGCGTCCCGGACCTGGTGGCTTAAAACTCACGCCAGGAGTGTGTGCGTGCGTGCCCAAGATCCTGAGAGGAGAATGAAGGAGAAGGGATTGGGGCGTGGCCATCCCCCCTGGGGGGTAATTTCTCGCTTTCTGTCTCTCTGTCTCTCTCTGTCTGCTGTCTGTCTCATGAGCATACATGCCCTATAGCAAAAAACAAAACAAAAAAATCCTCTCCAAAAAAAAGGGTAAAAAAAAAAAAAAAGAACAAAATAAATCAGACATCTTATCTTTCAGGGGTAAAATATCTGGTGAATGTCCTTTGGATTCTTTTGTATATGTAATGGGTGGCTTAAAACAGTGACATTTGTCAACATTAACTAGATTGCTAAATTATACTCTATATAAAATACCCAAATATACTGTTTTTATAAAATAAAATTTGCTATATATGCTCTAAAAAAAAGCTATTCAGTGACTAAGAATCACTCAAAATAATCACCTATAGTTAATAAGCTGTCTTTTCTAGTCATCTGTCTAGTTCAAATTTATTTCTTTCTCATTTTTATAGTCTATTGCATCTGCAGACATGGATTTTAACCAACTGGAAGCATTCTTGACTGCTCAAACCAAAAAGCAAGGTGGGATCACATCTGACCAAGCTGCTGTCATTTCTAAATTCTGGAAGAGTCACAAGACAAAAATCCGAGAGAGCCTCATGAACCAGAGCCGCTGGGACAATGGGCTTCGGGGCCTAAGCTGGAGAGTTGATGGCAAGTCTCAATCAAGGCACTCAGCTCAAATACATACCCCAGTTGCCATCATAGAGCTGGAATTAGGGAAAAGTGGGCAGGTGAGTTCAACTTCAATTAATTTCTCTTTGTAAACTATTTTTTTTTCTATTCTGTATTAGCCTATACATTTAGATTGATTTTTATGTAAGTCTTTGAGTAGGTAGTAATGCTAAGAAAAACCCTGTTTCCTAGACTCCCTTTATAGAGATAGAATCATCTGAAAATTTACATTCTCCCAACCGTGGGCAGAGACTAGAAACCGGCTTCAGGGTCCTGGCATCTGTCTCCGAAGAACAGAATGGGTCAATAGGTGATTCAGAGAGTTGGCAACTACTACATGTTGGTTAGATTTCGGATTCCTTGGCATTTGGTCAGAATCTCCCAGGTAAAGTAGAGATACTAGGTAAAAAGTAAGAACTGAGATTAAACAATACAGAAGAAAACTATCTCACCCAGTCGTCTTTAAAGTCAGTCCGGTGTGGGGCCAGCAGGTGGTGTGGTGGATAGGGGTGCTGGATTCCCACATGGCCAACCATGGATCAAGTCCTGGACCTGGTGGCTTGCTTTCTCACTTTCCCTTTCCCTTTCTCTCTCTCTGTCTCTCCCCTCTCTCTCTCTCTCTCATCAAATAAAGAAAAAAATAACAATAACAAATGGAAATAAATAAATAAATAATTCTTTAAAAAAAAAGTCAGGTATAAGAGGTAATAAATCCTAATTAAGTAATCTATTTTCCTAAAGACTCTTTAATTGTGCTGTCTCTGTCCTTCAGCTCACAAATAATTCTCATTTTGATCTTGATTATTTACAAACAGTTAATAATGTTTTCCTTGCAGTTCCCACAGTTATTGTACCAGATAATTTAGCATCTACATAGTTTTTCTTTAAGTCATTCAGTGTGTGCCCCACGTGAGTGTTAGATTAGACTTTTAATTCCCTGGCTTATGTCTTTTGGCAAGAAGAGACTTGTGATTAGGAAGAAAAAGCCCAGATCACTGAATTAGCTAATCAGATTTATTTTTATATAATTAAAAAAGTGCTCTTATTACATCATATAATTGAAATTTCTTTTCTTCTTAATGATAAGAGTATTTTTTACTTGACAGATTTCTTCATGTAAGCGCCTTCTTTAGTTTCTTTGGTTTTATTTCAGTGTTTGCAGTTTCATACTGACCATAAGTTTAATTTATAAGGTAATTCATTTAAAAACAGGTGTTAGGAGTTTGATTCCCCCCCCCAAAAAAAAAACCATTAGCATCAGCATTTAGGAGTTGTTAGCATCTCACAGTATTCTGTGCCAAGAAACGTGATGGTCGTACAATGTGGTAATCTAAAGCATTGAGAGGAGTACCACTTAGAAATAAAAAGGAAATTATTTTTGGAGCTGGCACAGCAGCAATGATTCAGCTGTTGTGCACAGGGAGCTAGATCCCACGTGGCTGACCAAAGTTCAAATCCTGTCTCTGGTAACTTGAAAAACATGCTGGGTGTATATTTGTGTGTGTGTGTGCGCACGCATGCATGTGTACACACACACACACACGGTTTCACGTGTCTAAAATTCTGATGAGATGAAGAAATGGAGGAAAAAGGATTGTGGTGAGACTATGCCTCCTAGGGGCTGCTTTTGTTTGAGCTTGTTATGTTTTTCTCTGGTGAGCACATATACCTTCTAGCAGTAAAAAAATTAAGGAAAAAAGAATGAACACTGATACACGCACAAAATGGTTGCATCTTGAATCATTTGCTGAGTTAAATAAGCCAGACAAATAGAGCATATAATGTATGATTTTAGTCAATATAAAATTATAGAAAATGAAAAGTAATTTCTAGTGACAGAAAATTAACCAATCATGTCTGGATATAAGGGTGGAGAGGGATGTGTGAAAACTTTTAAGGTTGATAAAACTGTTATGTTAATAGTGGCAGTGGTTTCATGGGTATTAAATGTATGTCAAAGCTTGTTAAATTATATACTTTAAGTAAATTCTTATACATCGTGTACTTCAAAGTAGTAAAAAGATGGCCACAATGAGAATGATTGAAATTGTGCTTTAAACCACAACTGTGAAGTCCTTTGTAATACAAAAAAAATTTTTTTTAATTTACCACAGGGCACATGAAAGAGAGAAGGAAAGTGAGAAAAACATCCTCCATGGAGGATGGTCTTACTGTAATCCCTCTCCTCTATTTTTCCTTTCAGGATTTTGGGCATGCATGCATGCACATGTGCCTGGTGTGTTTTTCAAGTCACCAGGTCTGGGACTTGAATTGCACAGTAGGCCATGTGGGACCCTGCTGCCTTAACCACCACTATGCTACTGGCTGGACCCAAATATATAAAGTCAAGAAAAATTGTAAAAGAAAAAAATATACATCCTAAATCCTACAGGAAATGTTTTTGTATGACCTGGATCTTTGGTTAGTACTTCTGCCAGCTTTTTTTAGGTGATTATTTATTACTCTTCTAGGGACCAGCAAATGGCGTAATGGTTATGTTACATGACTCCCACATGGCCAGCCACAGTTTAAGTCCCAGACCCAGAGGCTTGAAACTCATGCCAGGTGCATGAGCATGTGCGTGTGTGCCCAAAATCTCAAGAGGAGAATGGAGGAGACGAAACCACCTGGGGGGTGGGTTTTTGTTTTCCATGTCTCTGTCTCTCTGTCTCTCCAGCAAATGCACATACCTTGTAGCAAAAACCTCTAAAAAACAAAACAAAACAAAGAACCCCAATATAAAAAAGTACTTCTCTAAATCAAGTTTCTAATTTTTAGAACATCTATAGGCATGTAAGTCCAAGTTATATTCACATTGCTGACGTTCAGTGAACTTCGAGAGAATTTGTCGTAGGATATCAAGAGCTTATTTCCAAGGATGACTAGGTGTGGCTGAACTCTGGTGTATGTGTCTATGCATATACCCAAAAGCAACTAAATTATTGTCTTTAATTTATGTGACTTTTGAAAGAACTTGCCAAAGGACATGTGCACTCGCTGGCAGTGGGAGAGAGAGAGAAAGAGAGAGAGAAGGTAAGAAAACACCCTCCATGGGAGATGGTCAGGCTGTAATCCCTTCTCCTCCAGTTCGTCTTCCTTTTGGGATTTTGGGCATGCACGTTGCATGTGCCTGGAGTATTTTTTGGCTGCTGAGTATAGGTCTTGAACTGTGGAGTTGGCCACGTGGACTCTAGCACCTTAATTCTGGCTGATATATATAGGTTTAAAATCTCTAGTTTAAAAATCAGAAATCTTGGACCAACAGTTGGCGTAATGGCTATGTCCCTGGACTCCCATGTAGTCAACTGTGGTTCAAGTCCTGGACACAGTGGCTTAAACTCATGCTGGACGCATATGCATGCATGCCCAAGATCCCAAGAGGAGAATGGAGTAGAAGGGATTGAGTTGTGGCCATCTCCTCTAGGGAGTGATTTCTCACTTTCTGTCTTTTTGGCGAGCACACCCGCCTTATAGCAAAACCCTCTAAAAAAAAAAAATCAGAAATCCATATGCTCTGGAATCTGAAACTTTGAATGGCAGCATGATGCTACAACTGGAAAATTTCAAACCTGATGTCTTATAACAAAATATAAAAATACTGTGTAAAAGTCCTTTTAGGCTATGCGTATAGGTGTATATGAGGCATAAGTGAATTTTGTGCTTAGGTGTAGGTCTCATCCCCAAGATACTTCATTATATGTATTAAAATAGTCCAAAATTTAAAAAATAATCAAAATATGAAGCACTTCTGAATGAAAAGTTATTTAACACTTGACAGTTAAGAAAATGCTGTTTGGGAGCCAGCAGATGGCATAGTGGTTATGTCGTTGGACTCCCACGTGGCTGACCACAGTTCGAGACCCAGACCCAGTGGCTTGACACTTAGGTCAGGTGCATGTTTGTGCATGACCAAGATCCCAGGAAGAAAATGGAGGAGAAGGGATTGAGGTGTGGCCATCCACCTGGGGGTGATTTCTCACTTTCCCTCTCATTGTCTCTGTGTCTCTCTCTCCACAGCCATGAGGCAAAAACCTCTATAAAAAAGGAATTCTGGAGGCCAGCAGGTGGCGTGGTGGTCAAGGCTGCTGGACTCCCATATGGCTGACCATGGTTCGAGTCCTGGACCTGCAGCTTACTTTCTCACTTTCCTCTCTCTCTCTCTCTCTGTCTCTCTCTGGGCCACTTAAAACAAAAAAATTAAATTAAAATAATGACAATCAATAAAAATTTTTTAAAAAGAGGAATTCAAAGGAATTCTGTTTATACTGAAGTAATTTTACTTTTAAACTCCCAGTTTATAAAGAAGTTCACTTAAGATTACTGGACTTAAAATTTCTAATAGGCTTAAAAATTGTTGTTTCTTATGATGTATATATATGTTATACTTCAATAAAAAGATTTAAAGAAGAAGAGAGAGAGAAGAATATCTTTGCAAACTCATTGACCCTGTGAGAACTGAGCTTTGGCACTGCCTAAAACCTTGGCCGCTGACTAGTAGCCTGCCAAAACAAAGCCTCTAGTGTCGGACTTCTTTTTAGATTGTTGCCTTTCAGGCTGGCTGTTTCTATTCTTGTGGACAGATGGCATGCTTGAGAAGAAGCCAGTAAACTAAGCCTTAAGAGGACTTGGAAGCAAAATTTGGATGTAAGTTCCTTGTCCTAAACTCGGTAATAGTGTATCCTGCCCAGCAATATTGAAACTGCTTGTGTTTGTCTAGTATTTGTACACTGGTTGGTTGGCTAAGGACTGAGTCCATGTGTGCCAATATTCTTTCTACTGCCAAGATAAACATAGAAGGCCTCTGGCCCAAGCCCATTCTTAGCCCTTTAAAAAAATTGTGGTAAATACACATAGTATAAAATTGACATTTTAAACTTTTTCCTCTCAATTGGGTATATATTAAGCATTTTTAAATAAAGTTTGCCTATTGGGTTATTGGAAAAGTCATGACATATTTTTTCCTATATAAAAATGTGTCATGACTTTTCTGACAACGCAATATTTCATTCATGAGAGGGCAGGGGGAGGGTTCCCTCAACAGAATCTTGCTCGTGCCATG